TGTGATTGGTTAGCTGGGTCAGTGTGTGTTGTGATTGGTTAGCTGGGTCAGTGTGTGTTGTGATTGGTTAGCTGGGTCAGTGTGTGTTGTGATTGGTTAGCTGGGTCAGTGTGTGCTGTGATTGGTTAGCTGGGCCAGTGTGTGTTGTGACTGGTTAGCTGGGTCAGTGTGTGTTGTGATTGGTTAGCTGGGTCAGTGTGTGCTGTGATTGGTTAGCTGGGCCAGTGCGTGCTGTGATTGGTTATCTGGGCCAGTGTGTGCTGTGATTGGTTAGCTGGGCCAGTGTGTGTTGTGATTGGCAGCACTCGGCGCCTGGTCTGGAAATGTCATGCCCCTTACCATAGCCGCCTGTGAGCTTCAGTGTAAATATTGCGTCAAAATCAAATCAATTTGAGCGTGATTTAAACCCGGATGACTGTAATCACTCTAAGTTCGTCTGCCTTGGGAAAGCTAGCGTGTCTGCGACATAGTGATAACACTCGTTGCCTTCTTTAGTGCAGCTCAACCAGGTCTCGTCCCATTCGTCGATCTTTGTGATATCACAAATCCCGGAAAATATGCGTTGTAGTCCAAACGAGTCGTTCGTTGTAGTTTTTGAAAAGTGATTTCTGTTAAATAAAATATCTCCTTTTGAAGTGGACTTTGAGCTTTAACTTTGCAGATCTTTTTTTATGCTCAAACAGCAACATTACAGACTAACTAAAGTTGAAAAAGTGAAAAAGCATAATAGCACCCCTTTAATACAAAGAGCCAAAGCGCCGATCACACAGATTGCATTTAAAAACATGAGACGCAGTGAAATGGAATAAACTGCTTTGTTTATGTTTCATATATCTGCGTGTATTTCGTATATCCTTGTTTTGGTTTTTCCTTTTGAATGGCGAATATAGACTATTGATAGCTGCTGATATAATATTACTGCTTTCATTTAAAAAGTCAATGAATCAAGTGTTAGTACGTATGAATAAAGTTGGTGAAAATGTGCCGTGAATGCTCAGTGTGAATTCACTGTGGCAATGCATAATGAAACCAGTGTTTAAAAGACAGAAAGTTAATAATAGTTTTTAATGAAAGAATTCACTTCACCGCAGTATACTGAAACATTACAAGACTAATATTTCGAAGAGTTCAGTGTTTGTCACGTCATTACAGAATGTTCAAGGCTGCCACCTACAGGTCTAATTTTGTAATGAGTTTATATTCTGCCCATACTCTGCATTCTCTTTGTGTAGTTTACTGGGTGAATTCGGGTAATCTGGGACATTTTTTGCAATTTTGACTTCTGCGATTTATTTCGATATCTATCTAACACATTAGATCAACACATTAGATTTTTCTGAAATCCCTAAGATGTTTTCTAACCACACCAGAAGAAAGAATGTTGATATTATACCCAGAGGAAACATGCCACACCTATTAGTGTTTTTTGTGCCAAAAAATAATAATTCTGCCTGAATTTGATAATCTGGGACATATGTATTAGGCCTAAAAAAGCCTATATTCACCATACTTTATGCATGCCAAACACAATATCACCAATTTTTAAAAAGCATTATGAAAAAAAACTGACAAGTACAGATATCTCAATAAGGAAATGTATATTTCAATATCAGGAAAAGTAATTTCTTTCCGTACACAGGATGAACAATCTACTGTGTTAATTCATTTTAAATCATTTAAAACTATTAAAATTGTTAAACATTGTATTAACATTTTAAAGAATCAACTAAAATTTAAGCAACAATTTGATTACTGGATTATTCAGTCAGTTATTCAAGTTCTCCATTCTATTAAAACTAGGGCTACTCGGGGAACAAACACTCCTTGCAGGTGAGAGACCCATCACGCCATTATGTTCTGCACATGTTTCGTGATACTAATGGCTGCAAACCGCACAGGACAGCCACTCTTCGGCACTTTTGGGATCATCTCTGTCCCCATATGGCTCCTCCTTTTTCTTCTTGGGATTTGGCTTTGGCCCTTTGCCCTTTCCCTGAACCCTCCTTGTGGGGCACTAGGAGGTCTCTCTTGATGCTCTCTGTCTGTTGTTTCACTTGGCACGTAGAGGGCAGCGTCAATGTGGGCCGAGTTCAACGGGTAGATCCCACTACCCCGAAAGCCAGCCATGGCATTCGAAGGGGTCGCTGCCTTGCTCCAGGCCTTTGAAAAGACTGCCAAAAACAAGGCTCTGTCTAGCCTTTTCCCCCCGCTCTCCCTGGTGATACGCAGAGCGTCACACCACGTGAAAGTGAAACCTGAGCGGTGAACTAATTTTCGGCAGCCGGAATTTCGGTGCATCTCTAATTATTGGCGACATTAGAAATGGATATTATATAATAGCTGCTTTTTTGAACATTTTAGCAATTTAAAAATATAAAAAAATGATTTTTACAATGCACCCCTGCTCTCGACAGACCCCGGTTGGGAAACAGGAAGTGACGTCGCTTGCGTCTGCGCAGTGCGACCTGATGCAGCCCCTGAAGCGAGACACAGGAAACAGAAATACTGCAAAATAATAATAATAACGCGACTAAACGAGACGAAATAACGTTATAACATTTCGTTTCGTCTAGTTTTGGTCAACGAAAATGAAGAGACATTTTAGCATAGTTTTTATTTTGTAAACCACATTTAGTCTCGTTTTTATTCGTCAACGATATTGCATTATACATTTAATTATAGTCATCGTCACATGACCAGCATTTTCGTCTCGTCTCGTCTCGTTTTCTGTGACCTCGAAACATGGTCCCCCAACCTCGGCAAATATGGTCTGGCGCATTTTTCTAAACCCAGAGACTTAATGATATTTTCATAATCACTTCATAACTACCGGGCGGTTGAAGCCAGCTGCTCTGGAAGCAGAAAGACCCTCAGGCTTTCTGATACTCAAGTTAGGGTTCCGCTTCAGGAACCCCTGAAACCAGGTGTTGGCTGCTTTTTTCTTGGTTGCAGGGAAGCCCTTTATCCCTTTTTTTTTTTTTAGCGAATTTGAATGCAAGATTCTGGATATCTTCCATCCTTAGGGGAAACCCCCTTTTGCCACGTGTCTTCACAAGCTCTGCGTCTTCTTGGGAGATAAAGGCTTAAATACATAATTACATAGCACTTCTGTATACGGTCCCTCTATACTTATTGTAGTAAAGAATTAGGCTCCTCCAAGAAACGTCTCGAAGGAGAGGGAACCCTTCAGACTGGGTTATCCCCTTTAATTTCAAGAGGTCCCTTGTAGTTTGACATTAGGCAACAGTTTATCCACAGTACAGTTAGGATATAAATATTATAACCCCACATGGGGCGATGCCATTTAGACCTTTAAAGGTGGTGTGATTTTTATAGTTGGAAGAAGTTTGTAGTAAGAGGGAGGATGCTGTTTCACAACGGATCTCAGTGCAGTCTATTATCACTCTCACATGAGGGCAGTAGAGCTTGAACTTGGCCTGCACTTGTTCTCTTTTCATCCACAATGGTTGCCAGCCAAGAACCTGGTAAAGGTCGCTTGTCCATGTTAAGATGATACGACAAACAAGCAGACCTAAAAATGTAGAAGAACGTTTTCTCGTGAAGCCCAGCTGCAACACGACAGAGAAAAATTAATAATTCATCAATGAGTAGAAGCTTTCACTGAGGGTTAGGTGTCTCTAGTGCTGTTTGCTGTGCCTTTGTACTATGTGTAGTTGTACTTAGGGGAAACCCCCTTTTCCCAAGTGTCTTCACAAGCTCTGCGAGGACATTTTCATCTTCTTGGGAGATAAAGGGCTTCCTCCTGATTGTGTGTTTGTGGTCCCCTGTGCCTTTGACTCTTCGCTGAAGGGTGGACTTCGGAACATTCCAGGCCCTGGCCAAAAAACGAAGCTGAGGGATGCTACCTGCCTCCACTAGCTCTTTGTACTCAGCAATAGCTCCCTTCATTCTACTCTCATTCCATTGGTTTAGCTTCTTCTTATTTCTCTCATTTCGCTCTCTCTCTCTCTTCCTCGCTCTTTCTGTTGCCATCTCTTTTCCTGACGCTGTGGTGCCATTGTATTCTGTAATACATTTCATTGAGGTATTTAAAGGCCATGGATATTTTCATATTTTAGCTGACTAATGACTGTGTGGGTGTGTGTGTGTGCGTGCGTGTGTGTGTGTGTGTGTGCGTGTGTGTGAGTGTGTGTGTGTGTGAGAGAGTCAGTGAGTGTGTGTGGGTGTGTGTGTGTGTGAGAGAGTCAGTGAGTGTGTGTGGGTGTGTCTGTGTACAGAATATTGTCAACTGGCCTGGGCATTATAAAGTCCCTAAATGCATATTTCCTCCATTTGAAGACTGTCCCAGATTACCCAAAGCATGCTCATTATAATATTTGATAATGTGGGACAACAAAAAAATGTTTGAAAGAAAAAAAAACTAAAACACATTTTCAACACTTTAATACATATTTTGTTGCTTGAATAGATCACAAACATAATTTGACAACAATTAGGAACATTGTATTATTTATGACAGATTTATGTCCTTAACATGAATCTAGTCAGAATCCTATGTCACTGACCTTGTCATGCTATATCAAAAATTAGGTTTTGATATATTTACGGTAGGAAATGTACAAAATATCTTCATGGAACATGATCTTTACTTAATATCCTAATGATTTTTGGCATAAAAGAAAAATCTATCATTTTGACCCATACAATGTATTTTTGGCTATTGCTACAAATATACCCCAGTGACTTAACACTGCTTTTGTGCTCCAGGGTCACATATTATGTTTATATTCTATGAAGAAAGAGAGAAAAAAAGTTTTTTTTCATGCAATGGTGCCTTTCTGAACCCTGATAATAAACCAGTTCCCTACTCAGTTTGTGTTTGATAAGGGGTTTGATAACTTTGAAAGTTTGTAAGTAAAGAAAGTGACGCCGAGAAGATTTTCTGAGATTACAGGAAACCTCTCTGTTCAGCAGGTTTTGTTTTGTGCCATCGAAATGGTGTTAACTTGTATATGTCTTTTTTCGCTTTAGACCGAATGGCGTTGAAAGAGGAGAGTCAAGAACTGAACAATACGGGAAAAGAGAAAGATCAGCACGAGAAACATTGTGATTTCAGAACTGGAGAAAAATCTGCAAAGACTGAAGAGACTTCCTCACAAAACAGAGCTCAGAAGACCAAATCTAACAGTCATTTCTCCTGCCATCAGTGCGGAAAGAGTTTCAGTCACAAACGAAACCTTGAGGTCCACATGAGAGTTCACACTGGAGAGAAGCCTTTCACCTGTCAACAGTGTGGAAAGTGTTTCACTCAAACTCAAAGCCTTAAAGTCCACATGAGAGTTCACACCGGAGAGATCTCGTTCACCTGTCAACATTGTGGAAAGTGTTTCACTCAAAAACAAAACCTTAAAGTCCACACGAGGATTCACACCGGAGAGAGCTCTTTCACATGTCAACAGTGTGGAAAGAGCTTCACACAAAAGGGAAACCTTGAAGTCCACATGAGGATTCACACCGGAGAAAAGCCTTACACTTGCTCTCAGTGTGGACAGAGTTTCACACATCATAACACCCTTAGTTCCCACATGAGAACTCACTCTGGAGTGAAGCCGTTCATATGTGATCAATGTGGAAAGAGCTTCACAACAGAGCTAAACCTGAGGTATCACGTCAACATTCATACCGGAGAGAAACCATTCACATGTGATCATTGTGGAAAGAGTTTCACACGCAAGGTAACCCTCAATTCCCACTTGAGGATTCACTCTGGAGAGAACTGTTTTATATGTCATCAATGTGCAAAGAGCTTCAGTCATAAAAGTAGCCTTAATACTCACATGCAACTTCACACCGGAGAGAAGCCTTTCACCTGCAAACTGTGTGGAAAGAGCTTCACGCAAAAAGGAAATCTTAAGGCTCACGTGAAAACCTGCACAGGAGAGAAGCCGTGAAACAAGCTTCACAAGTATAGAAACCCTTAATTGCCACAGGAGGGTCCTATTTTTGTTCTTGATCATGAGCAGAATACACGCATACCAAATTTGAAACAGAAATAAAAATCAACAATGAACACACGTTGAAGGCTAAGGAAAACAAATGAGTTTTAAGAAGAGATTTAAAAACAAGCTATTCCACAATCGAGGACCCACCACCGAAAAGGCTCGATCCCCTCTGCGTTTCGGCCTTGGGATTGTCAATAAGTTAATGTTGCCAGATCTTAAACTTCTAGGAGGGTTATAGGGACACAGTAAATCAGACACGTATTTTGGAGCAAGATTATGTAGACATTTATACACAAATGGAAGAATTTTAAAGCCATTGGAGGGCTCGCGAAATGGTCATATTTGCAACCATTTTTAAGAAATTTAGCTGCAGCATTTTGAATCGATTGAAGTCGAGCTACCTGAGACTTGGAGAGACTGTAAAACAGAATTGCAATAATCCAAACGCGAAGTTATAAAAGCATGGATAATTGTCTCGAGAGACTTTTAGACTATTTTAGAACGTGAACGAAGCTGGAAAAAACTAGAGGCAACGACGGGGAACTCTGCTTCTCCACTTCATTGGCCGCTCCCAAGAAAAATCCACAACAATATTAGCCACTGGCTAATAAATTCTTAGCCTCCAACTCGCACACTGGTGAGCAAAATCTAAAGGCTTGTTCACACCGGGACTGCTCAAGCACAAACCGGTCTTGCCGAGCACACATTGATACCTAACCATGAAGAGGAAGTATATAGACCAAGAAGATGCATCGAGGCAAGATGAATGTAGAATGTAGCACAAAGGGCTTTATGACAAACGCGACAGCGACTACAAAAATCTCGATAAGAGGGAGTTGTTATGGAGAGGAATTGCAGATCAAATAGGATTCGATGTGTATCTCTGTTTTTCATTAAGAGCCATCCTCGCCAGTGTGTGAGTTGGATGCTGAGTATATGATTAGCACAGATATATTTTCACTCACAGAACACTCTCTGACTGAGCGCTTCAGAGTTTCATCTGTCAAGCGATCTGTGCTATTTTTCAGTTCATCTGAATGGATGCGCAGCGCACCTGTATTTGACGCACCGTAAACTCTAGTGAGAAGGCTAGACACTTTGTCTCACACACATGCAAAGAAAGAGAGCGAGAGAGTCTTACATAACATGCAGAATTGATGCGCTACATGTAAACGATATTCTTTGTTGTATTTTCTTGTCAAAATAACAGTGTTCCTTTGGAATTCTTCAGCTTTTAAGAACTGCCGGGTTTTCCGGTAGTGGGCGGAGCTAATGCGCAAATGGCAATCTCATTGGCTGGTGCTCACCTATTATCGTCCCTGTTTTGATTTCAGCGAATCAGTTCGAGCGAACGCAGGCAACGTGATTAATATTCATGAATCCAGCAGCTCATTAATCCTTTGTGCGATTTATATTATTATTATTATTATTAAATAATACTTGATTTTCTTATTATAATATTATAATGCTTGACTGACTGATGTTAAGCGTGTACTTTCAGATATTTAATTTTAGATATTTAATTTTTTTAGTTTACTCGCCAGACTGATATATATATAGCTGTCTGGTGAGTAAACTAAAAAAATTACTAACCAATGGCAATTCAATTGCCAAGGTGTCTGTAGAGGGTTGATGGAGGATACATGTTTATCTAATGTTAGGCGACTATCCATGAGAACACCAAGGTTACGTACACAACTTGAATTAAAAAGAGACCGATTGCCCAGGACAGAATTATTAAACTCAGATTTATCAGATGGACCAAAAATTATAATCTCAGTCTTAGAGTCATTTAGAGTTAAAAAGTTATTGGATAGCTAAAGTTTGACCTTGTCGAGGCAGGAGAGGGGTCATTTCAAACAGGAACAGATCAGTGCTTGCACTTTTGATTGTCTATATCAGGGGTGTCCAAACTCCGGCCTGCGAGAGATTTTAAAAATGTATACGTATCTGGCCCGTTATAGGGGAAAATAGATGAAATTCACTAAATAGCCATTGGGTGTCGCTGTCACATGCAGCCAAGGCAGTTAGACAGATGTAGGCATACGTACGAATGTTAAAAGACATTATAAAACAAAACATCAGTCTTTCAAATCTTAAGCCCCGTTCACACCAAGCACGATAACTGTAAAGATAACGATAAAGGTATAGTTCTAAAAATCGTTCTCAATATTAAAGAATAGCAGAGTCCACACCACAACTATAATGATATAGACAAAGAGAAACGATATTGTTGGAATCACTTTCAAAACGATTTTTCTCCAGCTAATGAACGATACAAAATTGACAGCCAATCAGAATCAATCCTGCTATGACGAGCTCAAGAAGTTAAAGTGGCAGACAAGTGTGCGCTTGGAATAAACAGACGATATCGTTCACTGGTGTGGACGCTAATATCGTTATCTTTATAGTTATCGTTCTTGGTGTGAACGGGGCTTTACACTGGTGCCGAGCGCAATCAAAAGGTGAAACAATTGGCAGCTGCCTTGTCAGCTCAACAACAATTTTTCCGTGTTAATAAAGCACAGGAAAATTCTACATTAGCTAGTAACCGACCCAAAGCAAGTATAGCGTCGTCTTTCCCCTCGTTTGTTTTTCCAGTTTTTGTCAGTTTTTATTTTTTCTTATGGATTACCCCGCATTCGAAATCCTCCTGCTGGAGCAGGGGGAACGCTCTCTTGAGGACCACACAAACGACTTTCTGTCCCTGGCCCACCTCACGCACTACCCGGACAACTGCCTCTGTACCTTCTATCAAGTTGGACTAAACGCCACAGCCCGTTCAATCATTAGTTAATTATCCTCAGTGTGCTCACCTGTCTGCCCCTCGTTATCTGCACTATATCTGTTCCTGTCTCTGGTATTTGAGTTTGTCGGTTATTGTGAATGTTACCCTGAGTGTGTGTGTCTCATCTACCCGAATCTGCCTTGTTGTCTCTACATTAAATATCCTTATTTGAATCCTTGTCGTCTTCGTCATCCTGCCTGCCTCCACACACCTGGACCGTGACATTATGAGGTAGCTCACCTAATAGCGCGGCACGGAAAACCATTCACTGAAGGCGAACTTACAAAGAAGTGTCTGATGAAAGTTGCCACTATAAGTTGCCCAGAAAAGATTCAAGATTTTAAAAACATCATTCTTTCAAGAAACACAGTCGGACGGCGAATTGAAAACTTGTCAAATCTAAAAGAGCAAGTAACAGACAAATTACCCACGTTTGATTTTTACTCAATTTGCGTGCGATGACAGAACCGATTCAACAGACACTGCACAGCTGTTAATTTTTTTTGAGAGGTGTGGACAGTGATTTTTGCATTTCAGAAGAGCTCCTTGATATGAAGAGCCTTTAAGAGTACAACAACAGGAAAATATCTTTTTGAAGCCGTATCATGTGCGATTGAAAACCTGAATCTCCCTTGGGCCAGGCTCTGTGGCATCACAACGGATGGAGCGCCAGCCATGATCGGCGAGCGGAATGTGTGTTTGAACAAAGTTGTTTTCTCAATATTTAGATTTTTTTGCACCCTCAGATTCCAGATTTTCAAATAGTTGTATCTCGGCCAAATATTGTCCTATCCTAACAAACCATACATCAATGAAAAGCTCATTTATTCAGCTTTCAGTGATGCATACATCTCAATTTAAAAAAATTGACCCTTATGACTTGTTTTGTGGTACAGGGTCACATATCGGAAATGTATGCGCACTTGAAATCCTTTGCTGTGAAGCTAAGACTTCTTGAGAGACAAATCAGTGACCGCAACGCTGTGCACTTTCCTAGTTTGTCCGAAATCATCTCGAGTTTAATCAAACGTCACGCACAAAGGATGATGAGTCTGTTTGGCTCCACATACATATGCGAGCAAACATTTTCGCTGATGACGCTGAACAAGAGTCCACCGAGAGCCATGTCTGTGATCTGCTTCGTATCTCTACTACACGACTTACTCCTGACTTGACATCAATTCTGAAATCCAAGGCACAACATCACTGTTCACATGAATAAAGTTAATGCGGAGTAAAAAAATGCATTGAAAGAAATACATTGTAATGATTCTTAGGTTAAAAATGTATATAATATCATGGTGCATATATATTTAGCATTATACACGTAACATTTTTAGAGAATAACATATTTAAAATATAGCAGACAAAGACAAATTAATGGCAATAATCAATTAGCTTGTCTAATAGTTTAAAAAAATATATATTATTATTACAGCCATGCGGTCCGAGACAACACACTTTTTTTTTTTTGCACCTGGCCCCCAGTGGACAAAGTTTGGCTTTTGATGAAGAGCATTTTCTCTACTTTTCTCTACTATATTGTCATTAAATAGCAGTAATGAAAATTACATGATTGTAACGTATATGCTAATGAATGCATTCAATAATGATTATTACTGGAGGAGTCGTATGGCATAATAATACATGACTCATATACAATTAAAGGGATAGTTCACCCAAAATGAAAATTCTTGTGACATCAGGGGTTCAACCGTAATGTTACGAAGCTACGAGAATACTTTTTGTGCGCAAAGAAAACAAAAATAACGACTTTACTCAACAATTCGTCTCCTCCGCGCCATGTGCTGGATTTATAAAGTGTTCAAACTCCATATAGACTGATTTCAAGACATCTCAAATTTCATTTAACTATTCAAGACAGACAATGAGAGCAAAATCTCAAGCCACTGAGCGGTTGTTAATGATCCATTAATTAATATAATATTTTGTATAATCTCGTTATGCTTAGTATAGACACAATAACTAAAGCCACTAGAACAAAAACATCTATGAGATGTATTTTGCCAATCCACTGTATTTTAATCCTTGGATCTCTTTTGGTAACTAAATCTACTAAATGACTAAAACCCAATTACTTTAGCTTGCAGTTAAAGCAGAAGAGATCATGTTGAAATAACAGTGCTCGTATTTACACCTTTACACCATAAGAGGGCAGTATATAACAAAATATTAGATTCTTCTCAGTGGCGCCTACACAGAAGACATCTGACAAATAGTGTAACAAACTTTAGAGATTTTATGTCAGTTGTG